GGCAAAATATAGGCCCCGCCCACCCACCCTGTCTCGATTGTGACGATTTTTTTTTATAGTCGAGATATTTTTTTCAGAATATTTATGCCAAATTCTTATTATTTTTCCACAAGAAACTACCATGTAAGACATATGTTTGAGGCTGGTGTTATTAAAAGAGTGCCATGTATATTAAAAAAAATTGAAACCAAAGATTAAGCCCCACCCATACCTGCTCTGATCTAAATGGTAATGAAGTTTTCATTGGTTGGCAGTCCTAGAGGCGATTAGATAGCATTCGTCGTCAGATCGAGGGGCGGCGCTTAATTGCAAAATCCATATTTGTCTACAAGAATTTACCATTTTAAAAATGTTTTAAGTTTCATGTTATGAAAAATGGCTATGTATATTAAGAAAGAAAAGGCAAAATATAAGCCCCGCCCACCCACCCTGTCTCGATTGTGATGATTTTTTTTAATAGTCGAGATATTTTTTTCAGAATGTTTATGCCAAATTCTTATTATTTTTCTACAAGAAACTACCATGTCAGACGTATGTTTGAGCCTCGTGTTATTAAAAGAGTGCTATGTATATTAAGAAAAAAGTGAAACCAAAGATTAAGCCCCACCCATACCTGCTCTGATCTAAATAGTAATGAAGTTTTCATTGGTTGGCAGACCTAGAGGCGATTAAACAGCATTCGTCGTCAGATCGAGGGGCGGCGCTTAATTACAAGATCCATATTTGTCTACAAGAATTTACCATTTTAAACATGTTTTAAGTTTCATGTTATGAAAAATGGCCATGTATATTAAGAAAAAAAGGCAAAATAAGCCCCGCCCACCCACCCTGTCTCGACTGTGTTGATTTTTTCAATAGTCGAGATATTTTTTTCAGAATGTTTATGCCAAATTCTTATTATTTTTCTACAAGAAACTACCATGTACGACGTATGTTTGAGGCTCGTGTTATTAAAAGAGTGCCATGTATATTAAGAAAAAATTGAAACCAAAGATTAAGTTCCACCCATATCTGCTCTGATCTAAATAGTAAGGAAATTTTCATTCGTTGGCAGACCTAGAGGCGGAGCCTAAATGCAAAATCCATTTTTCTTTACAAAAATTTACATTTTGAATGTGCTTTAAGTTTCTAATAATTAAAAAATCATTACAATTGAGATGGGGTGGGTGGGTGGGGTTTATATTTGATTATATTTTGTTAATTGTTGATCAATTTTTTTATATTTTTTAACAGTTTCTGAATGAAACTATGAAATAACTGAATCCAGTTTCTTAGATAATAAACAACATTTAATTATGTGAATTTTATGTTTTTCTTATGATAACCCCTATTAGACAAAAAAAAGCTAAAAGTTGATACCATACAGTATAGAAAATGAGATGATGATGATTTTGGAGACACTCTGTATAAACAATTCTAGAAAAATAGGAGCTATGAATAAACTCGATTACACAAGCACGTCTTTCTGAACTTTTCAAATGGTGTTGACTTTGCAAAATTTTCTCATGACGTCATCAAGTTTTTGGAAGGGATGGGAGATTCTGACTAGCGATTGATCATGTTTTTTCATCAAATTTTAGAACAATCGGTTTTGTAGTTTCCAATATGAATTTTAAAATTTTGTTCTATTTTGAATTTTTTCCGAAAACCTATAGCATATTTTTTGACACATTTTACCTACGTGTAATTTAGCAAAATCGTGGTTAGCACACCAATCAGTCAGTAGTTTCGAAATGTATCTGTGAAAATTATCTATTCTAGGAACTATCAAATTTTGAGCTTCCACTCAGGAAGTGTAAAATATATAAAATCAAATATGCGAAAATTAATATTCCGTTAATTTTTCTGGATATGAATGGCTACTTTCAGGTTTTCTCGACGTTTCATGATCCCTAGAGTACAAAAAAGTAGGTCTCGGCTTTCCGTGTGTCTGTCGTCTATCGGTCTGTGTCGATTTTTATTAGACAGATAATTATTTCCGAAACTACTGGACCGATTGTTATCAAATATTATATGAATGTTAAGCATATCGTGTACTTGGTAAAAGACTAACCAAAATTTATTTGCTCATACCCACCAACAATTTGACGCCGTTTTCTCAAATTTTTTTAGTAAACGCCATTTAAATTTTATAAAATTTATATAATATAATACTCTTACAATTGTGGTTTATGACTCTGCCTTGAATTTTTACCCTAGGCATCCAAATTTTCACTATCCTATATATTTTAATTAATATAGGTTATCACAAAAAAAAACAATTTTATAATTTTTAAAAAAGCGAAATTTGTTCAGGGGCAAGCGAAGTTCTGTCAAACAAACTAAATAATTTGTTTAAACATTATTTAGTCAATTGACTTCATTAACGTCACAGACTAAACTTAGGAACAAAGAAATGTCCGTCATTTGCGTCAAAATTTTCAGGAGAATTGTACCAAAACATCAATAAAAAACACGTCGAAGACAGCCATGGATTTTTGAAGACTTTTCTTTGACAGAATTTTCGTCTTGTCAGATTACCGTCAATTTGAAAGTTTGAGCTGATAATGCAACAATCCAAGACAAACTTTCCAAAAACTATGGCTGTCTTTGAACGTGTTTTACTGCTCTTTCGGTATAAGCCATACTCAAGAGCCGTGGGTTTAGCCACAATTTAGGTTACCACCATTGTGTCATTTGTCAAGTGAACAAACCCGTATCAAACCTGTCACTTGTGTCATTATATTTTGACACTGACATGTAGTGGCTAAAGCTTCAAATTCTAACAAACGAAGTGTAAGCTATTGTTGTGAATCCACTGTGTCACTTAGTTTTAGTTAAAGTAGAGTCCTCCTGATAGTGAACATTGACTTTTTGTGGATCTAACGACAAGAATTTCGCTTTTTAATGTGTTTTAATAAATTTTAGAATAACCTGAATTGTCTGTAAATGACCATTATTTTAATCCTAAGCGGTTTGTCGGCGACTTTTGGATACAAAAAGTCAATGTTCACTATTTGCCGGGCTCTACTTTATCAGTTTTATTTGACGTAATAATTATGAACGTAACTTACATTTCTTAATGTTATAACTACAATTTAAATTTTAAGTTTTATGGAGATTAATATTTTTGAGTCTGGAAATTGTAACTCGTAACTTAAACCACCCAGAAAGCGTGATGTCAGCGACATTGGTCTATTTCGAGATGGCAAGCAAAAAGTTCAAGATCATGGCTACATCAGATTTTAAAAGTACCGAGTGACTATTAATGTTTGTTTTTTTTTTAGTTTGGTTGGCAACATTTCTAAAATTTTATGATGATACACCTGCCAATAATTCGGAATTGCCAACACAAAAATTTACTTTTTTTACGGATTCATAAACCACAAGTGCTGGAGTATTTTATTAAAATTTAAATAATATTTATTATTGCAAACAAAAATAATTGAAGTGGACGATGACTTTTGCCGCCTTGTCGAAACATGAATTATAATCAGATGGTCAAACTGACGTTCATATAGTACAGGCTGCTATACACACGAGCAGAAAATTTGGGTAAATTTACATTTAAATGTCCAGTGATTGTTCAGTGTTATAAATATTTATAGACACTCTGAAATCTGAATGTATATATTGTTTTTGGAAGTGATAGTTAAAACGTTCCAGCAACGTTACAGTAACATTTGAGTTAACCCTTTGTACGTTCAAAGTTACAAATTTTAAATTATGGCAAGGTGGAAGTGAAGAGTTCTCTTTCATCTATTTGCTAAGTGGTATTATATACTCCAGCTTTGATCTAGTGAAAAGAGATTTTTAATTTATAATATAAATATAAAAATAAAAAGCTTTGAGGATACTATTAAAAATCGTTTCACTTAATCATTAGTCAGACTATAAGTAAGGTATATGAGCAACTGTAACCTCAATTTTTGTGTATTGGTAGCTAATAAATTTAAATTTTAATGCATCGGTGGAAAAAATTGTAGTTTAAGTACATACATACTTTATTATACTCAAAAAGTACGGTAAAAATTTCCTATTCAATGTATGTACCCGCATAATACGCTTAAAATGAGTGCTATAACGTGTCAACCCGGACTATAAGCACGTGTACCACTTTTCATTGTAAGACGAGCGCCCAAGAATCTTTTTAACGTGGGAAAATACAGTTTTGCAATTCAAAGAACCTTTTAATTAATGATAAACTTATTGGAAACTGCGTCAGACAATTCTTGTACGATTAATTACATTTGTTAATTAACCCGATAAACGAAAAGCCTGCCACCATCACAACGCAGCTGTTCCACCAAGTCAGCACCTATATGCAAATTCCGCCAATTAAAAACTAAGTAAATAAATAAAAACGAACGGCGCCGTTGAAAAGTTCCAAGTTCCGCTCGAACTGCAGAACCCCCGTCCGCCAATTTCTATTTACAGAGTGATCAAATATTCCCCAGATACAGAGTGATTGTGCAACAGCCCGTCCTTCGCACGTATCGAGCCGCTGACGTCATGGCAATCTCCGCTCCGCGAACGCTGACGTTGAAAATACCAAAGTTGAAAAGATTTCAAGCGCAACATCCGCGGAAAAGCATGAATCAACCGCACCATCTGCCAGCGCTTTCCACGTTTCTCTCGCCGCTTTCGTTTTAAATAGCCTTTTTTAAATAAAACACAAAGAATAAATAAATGAGGAGAAAGGAATCCCCTTTCCCAAGCCCGCTCTTACCGAATAAATAATTAATCACGAACACGTCTGCGGCCGCAATTAAAATATAGGCCGAAAACCCACTGAATCATGGTTGGCTTTCGATCCGAAGAAATGGGGCAATCGGAATAATTGCGCCACTTGTTGCTAGAGCGCTTATCCATGACGCCCAGCGCCCATGCGACCATCTCGCCCAAAATTCCGACGGATGGACGTGGTATTTTTGTTTATTCTACGCGACGAACTCGTCTTGCGCCGTTCAATGGCAGACACGTGTGGATTTCGGTGATAACAGATGCATGTGGGCACTTACCTATGCAGTTGCTGCGGCTCGAAGCGATGTTGACAATTAGATTTGGTCGATTCGATTCGTACGATCCTATACCACAACCAGTTATTCTTTTCTCATACGGTCATGACACCGATTACGTAGTGGCCCCTTTTATCGCGGATAACAAGTTATCGACGTCAGGGGCCGAGAGGGGGATAGTGGAGACATCTGGGGGACAGTAGGCGCATGATACGCCGGAGACCACGACCTTCTCTATTAACTACGGCCTGCTCAATCGACCTGAATTTCATTGTTTTTTTGATTCTGAGAAAACGCAAAATGTCGCCACTTTGGCGCCACTTACCCGTTAACCGTCAATTAATTTTAGACCATCAACTGTCAGTTTATAGGTTAACAAGAATTAGGAAACACTGGAAATTTTCATTTAAATTTATAATAGATGAAACCATTAAGCTACATGTGTACTTCAGAGGGCGTTTGCGAGAAATAATTCCAAAATCAGCCCGTAAAGCCATGGTTGGGCCTGCCCTCAACGTGGGTAAGGGTATCGTTTTTACCTAGTTTTTCCGAGTTTGTGAGCGACTCCCACAATACGAACGCATTTCGAAATGCGACAATGATCTCCGATAAGTATGTTTTACGTGTATTTTTTTCGTAATAATTCAATTCATTGTAATAATAGACCTCTGAAATTTGAAATGACAACTTATGATTAAAGATGGTATAAAATCAAAATCAGAACTCTCGTGAGAGTTGCGCTCCAATGGACACGTACCCTTATTTCTAGAGAGACAGAATGTGGTGAATAGAATCAAGACGTTAACATTTACTTTTCCTAATTCGGAAAATTATTTAAAAAGAAAATGGTTGGCCGCACTAAAGAGAATGATTTTTGAAACTTCTGCTAACCAAAGCGTATGTTCTACATTGGTCTACAGTTATTGTAGTTGATGATAATTATTAAAATACAGATCATCAGTTAATGCATATTATCTTTCACTGTGCGAATTCTATTTTAGCGAAGCAGACATTGAAACAAGCTATTTTCATGAGAGGTCTGGACAGCTTCTTTAGTTCATCCACAATCGAAGCAGGGTGAAAATAGCTGTTACATACAGAATCAGTTTATAGAAGCGAAACTACTAAATTTGGTAAAACTTTACAAAAGGCACTTCTCGATTTCGCACAAACTGTTTTTAGGTTTGGCAAAATTTGTACACGGAAACTACCATAAATAACGTGGGAATAGCATCACGTTTCAGCAATTTTCTTCCTGATTCAGATGCTTTAAAACATGATTTCAGGAAATGTAAACTGCAAACAACCGTTTTGTCCGATAATCTTGGGCACTCATCTACAATTTTTCGTATTCAGAAGTGTCTTTTTTAATAAAATATGTCAAACTTTATGCAAACAAAAATAGGTACTTAATAAAAATATTTATTGAAGATTTACCGGTATTAGGATATATTTTTCCCAACCATACTTGTCTTAGCTTAAAATTAGAGGGAAACTCATGAAAGGATCTTGAAGGATCTGTGGAGAAACACGACGGAACACAACAAAACGAATAAGGCATTTTAAAATGCGAGACACAACACAAAGCACTAAAACAAACGTAAACAAAAACAAAACGAACTGGCGATTGTAAATCTCGGATCTATTTAAGCCACAAATAAACTAAAACAGGTTAGACACAAGAGACACGTTGAGGAATGACAAATACTCCTGTCACAATTTTTGAAAATTATCTAGTAGTAGGCAGGTGTCTTTTTTGGCGTTTAACGGGTAAGTGGCTCTACGCGGAGAACACGAAAACTAGACTATTGAGCAGGCCGTAGTTAATAGAGAAGGTCGTGCGGAGACGATCGAGTAGGGAACTGTAAATTGGCACGGTTTCAGCGGAAATACGAAATCTAGTGTTCACTGGAAAAAAATGTTGTATATTGACACAAAAGGCGAAGGCGGAGTGGGGATGTGTTGAAAAGCGTTGAAAGATTTGTACACAGTCTTCTTCTTGGTCTGTGATCCGTAATTGGATCTACGGTGTGAAGATTATGCGTGACGTAGGCAACACAGAATACTACTCTAACCCTAGCAATTTGAATAATTTTTATATCAGTGGTTCTCTATACTCAGTTTATGGGTTATTGAATCCTTAAACCTGTATTAGAAACTAACATCAACGTCATAAAAATTGTTTCATTATAATCTAGTGCGTACGTACGATTTTATTAAAAAAAAAAACTGGATAAATAATATGTAATAATAACTTTATTGCCCAACAGTTTCCCATTAACAGGACAAAATACATATTTGTGTACATAGAAGAACACATTCTCAAATCATCTGCTAATCCAAGTCTAGGACATGTAAATGACCTCAATAAGTCGTCAATAAATAATGTAAAAAGAAGACGTCCCAGGTTGGAACCTTGAGGTACACCTGACGTTTACACCACAGTAGATTTTACACATTCATGTGATATATAACCATTATAAAAGGCATAGTTAATTCGTGCTATATAGTAGGATTCAATAAATTTAATAAATGATGGAGACATGCCAAAAAAACTGAGCTTATTGAGCAGCAATAACATCCAATTGTCCACCCTTATCCAATTCCTCAGAAATACACTGCGTTACTATCATGAGATTTGTAATGGTAGATTTTCCAATTAAAAAACCAAGGAAGAACTGCATACGTGTTGAAAAGATCTAGCTCTAGCACATGCAGTATTTATGTTAATGTAAGATGTTATATTAAAGTCTCCAATTATTAAGACAGATTTGTTAGCAAGAAACATTTCAAGTGCTTTAAAAAAGATTTCATAGTCATTAGATGATGAATTCAGGGGTATATACACATAAAATAATTACATGTTTAAAACGGTAAACTTTTGTAGGAAAGGATCGATTTTACAATTAGGCTCCGCCCCTCGCTCTGAAAACGAATGAAAAATTCATCACAATTGAGCTTGGAATGCATATGGGTGGAGCTTAATTTCTGGTTTGTTTTTTTCTTAATATACATAGTATTTTTTGAACGACACGGTAGTCAAAAACATGTTTTTTATTTCTTGTAGAGAAATAAGGATTTTGCTACTAAGCTCCGCCCCTTTAGTTCACGATGAATAAAAAAATCATCACAACTCAGATAGGGCGGGTGGGCAGGCTTTCGTTTTGGCTCTTTTCTTAATATGTGTAGTTATTTTTTCACAACAAGAAACATAAAACATGTTTAAAATGGTAAATTTGCATAGGGAAATATCGATGTTACAATTCTGACAACGAATAAAAAATTCATCTCAATTGAGCTTATAATAATTGATGTGGATGGAGCTTAATTTTTGGCTTGTTTTTTTCTTAATATACATACTTTTGAATAACACGATACTCAAAACATGTTTTTTATTTCTTTTATAGAAATAAGGATTTTGCAATTAAGCTCTACCTCCTTGGCTCACCACGAATAAAAAAATCATCACAATTGAGATAGGGCGGGTGGGCGGGGCTTACATGTTTCCTTTTTTTCTTAATATGTGTAGTCATTTTTTCACAACAAGAACCTTAAAACATGTTTAAACTGGTAAATTTGCATAGGGAAATATAGATGTTGCAATGAAAAATTCATCACGATTGAGATCGAGACGGATAGGTGGGGCTTCTCTTATGGTTTTCTTTGTATAACACAATGACTTAAGGACATATTTCACATGGTAATTTCTCTAGAACAATAAAGATTTTACAATTAAGCTCCCCCCCCACGGCTTACGATGAATAAAAAAAATTATCAAAATAGAGATCGGGCGGGTGGGCGGGGCCTATATTTTGCCTTTTTTTTAAATATGCATAGCCATCTTTTCACAAGAAGAAACATAAAACATGGTTAAAATGGTACATTTTTGCAAGGAAATATGAATTTTGCATTTATGGGAAAAATCGATATTTCTTTATACAAATTTTCCATTTTAAACATGTTTTAAGTTTCAAGTTGTGAAAAGAAGTCTACAATTATGAAAACAAAAGGGCAAAATGTAAGCCCGCCCACCCGCCCTATCTCATTTGTGATGATTTTTTTATGCGCCGTGAACCACTATTCAAAGAATAAATACTATGTGTATTAAGAAAAAAAGGCAAATTATTAACCCCATCTCCATTGTGATGAGTTTTTAATCTTAGAAACTTAAAACATGTTTAAAATGGTAAATTGTTGTAGAAAAATATGGATTTTGCAATTAGGCTCCGCCTCTAGGTCTGCCAACGAATGAAAATTTTATTACTATTTAGATCAGGGCAGGTATGGGTGGCGCTTAAGCTTTGGGTTTAATTTTTTCTTAATATACTTAGCATTCTTTGAACAACACGGTACTCAAAAATATGTTTTTAATTTCTCGTAGAGAAATAAGAATTTTGCTTAAGCTCCGCCCCCTTGGCTCTCGACGAATAAAAAAAAATCACCACAATTGAGACAGGGCGGGTGGGCGGGGAATATATTTATAATTTCAAAAATAACTGTGGCTGTAGGAAGAGGTCAATTAAAATAAAAATAAATAAATAAATAAAAGATATATAGGGTGTTTCTTAAAAGAAATAAGTTCTAAGTTGTGTTGCGGCTTGAAGACAGAACACTGTGTATAGTTTAAAATAATGCTAAAGTGTAGGTAGTCCTCAAAAAACCGTACAACGTTGGTCTTGACTTTTTTTCTATTTCTAATAATAATTAATGCTATATCAAGGAAAGCAGGCTTATTCTGTACAAACACTAAGTACCTATATGCAATGTATAAGTAAATAAATATCTGTTTCCAGTATAACAGTTGTTTATTGTAATGCACAGTGGCGCAATTATATCTGATGAATTAATTTTTCTGTTGACATAATATATATGTATAACCTAACGAGAGAAAGTGATCAAAAACACTATCAAAGACAACCATGGATTTTTGAAGATACCTATATAAAAACCAATGATAAGATGGCAGCTGAATTGGTGCCCAAAAATATATATACCTAAATACTTAATTAATAATTTAAAAAAAAAATCAATATAACCAACTCTTGTTGACAGGATTGTTGAGGATGAAAGAGTAAAGTAATGACTAGCTAAGAGTGTAAAGAGTTAAAAACTGTCAAGTTCAAGTGTGTTTCCTTGTTTTCTTTCTTTTATTCCTGTAAGTCTATTTATGAATTTTTCTTTTTTTTCTAATAAATAATAACATACAACTAATAAATAAGTTATCGTCTATTTGTAATACATAATATGTAGATACACCTTGTGATAACCCAAACATCTCGCCTTAAATAGACATGTGAAAAAAAAATGAAAGCCCGCGAAAAATTCAAAAATTTAAAAATTTGGCCTTGGATGTTCAGATGCAAGTGGTGGACCTCAAGGTTGGAAAAGTACCGCTAAATCAAACACAAAATTAATGGAGGAAACAAAATCATTTATTCCTCCACTGACAAAAAAAAAACTTAGTGCTCAGCTACAAAAAAAAAACTTTGAAAGACTCTGAATGAAATCAAATTAAACGTTCTGAATCAATGCAAATATTTGAATAACACAAATTTAATAAAAACAAAGAAAAATCTGAATTAAAGTAACTGGATGCAAATACATAAGTTATTATGCAGCGGCAGCGGCACCAGAGCGCTAAAAGAGTGTGGCGATCGAACTATGTCAATTTCATTCTAGAATCTAGAACATAGCATTCTATTCTATCGATAAGCACTGTCGCCCTAGAGTGCCTAGACGAGCAGGCCGTTACGGTCGCAAACTCGCAGTTAGGCCATCACGAAGCCGACAGCGTTACGTCATCTCGACCGTCCCTAATTCCTATTCTAAATCTGACAGCTCGAAAAGGAACCGCGCACTCCACTTCCGGCAAGCGTTATTGTGTTATCTAACCTCAATTCAGTTTAAATGTTCAATTTCTATGACTCTGATATTAAACTACAATTGAACAAGTGTCAAAGTTTCAAAAATGGCAAGAAACAACCTTTAAATTCGCCACACAATCTTGTGAAAGTTTAAACAACAAATAATTCTTATTTGAGATTAAGATTGCACATCAGATAATTTATATGAGGGAAACATTCATCAACAAAATATTTACATAAAAAAAAACTAGCAAAGATGTATAAAAACAGAACAAAAGATCTGCTGTAAAATAAAACTTGTGCAAATAAAAATATTACTAGAGGTTTAGAAACTGCAGAGCATGAAAATTTACGTTCAATTTAAATTATACAACAAAGAAAATTGCTGAAGTTAAAATTGTAAGATAGAAAAATATTGTATGAAGTGAAAAATTGCAAAGCTAACAAATTTACATGATATTAATATATGCCACACAATTGTAATTATCCAACGTTACGAGAAATAAAATGTTTGTTGCACTTTTCTACGGTCTTTTTCCACATTGGGGCAACGTTAGGTTAATTTAACTGCCGTAAATGAACTATTAGCAATCTTGTGTGAAGAATTAAGAAGTGTTATAATGTAACTAAGTGAATTTCATGAAATCTCCTAGTGAGTGTTTTATCTAAATAAATCTAATGTCTGTTAAATTGTGTAAGCACCAGCTAACGATTCAAATCCTAACATGAACTGTGAATTTACAAACAATGAATTAAATTTATACGTGTTGGCGTCAGTCGAAAATTCACATTTCTTGGGGAAAACTGTGGCATCGTCGTCGTTATTAACTGCAAAACCAACTATTTAACCAAGCTAGCTTACCACGTGGTTACACAAACACACCAAGAGTGACGCTTTCACCTCCCTACCAAGCCGCCATCTTCTA